AGGACATCCCCCAACCTAAGACAGGATACTGGGAATCCTAGGACGGGTAAGGGGGAAAAAAGACCTGGTCCCCACTCGACCTAAATATCATAAGACACCCCTCTGTTTCCAGGAGGGGTAAATTGCTTCACCATTCTAGAGGAGGGTCTCTCCTTGTCCCAGTCCCTTCTCCTTTAGATCTGACACCATGGTTGGAATCTGACTTGATGCCCTCCACTTAATAGCTGCCTGTCTTTATAAAAGAAAGGGGGAACTGTAGTGAGCCGAACAGGATCACCATTACAAGATGGCGCCGACATCCTGTCTTGTTGGAAATAAGCAACTCCATATTTGGCTAAGCCTTTGAGAGCTGCGTGTCCCCCGCTTCCTGCATGCGCAGTGGTTAAGGGTCCTTGGGCCTATCCTGATGCAGTCTGGTGTCAGCTGTTGGTGGCAGCCAATCACAGGGTGACCCGTGTGCCATTTCCAGATATAAGCAGCTGCCTTAGGGCTCTCGGGCCTCTCTTGCTTTCTCTCTCTGTCTTGTTTCCTGCCCCTCGTTTCCCGCCCCCTTTGCTTCATGCTCTCTCTCAACCAAGGGCACTCCAGTAAAGCATGATCTGAGAAGAATCCTCCTGTGGTGGTTGTTCTTTCTCGCTGGTCGAGAAGTCCGCCACAGCGGTGTATGCGACCAGTGAAAGACTAGGTTTCAAGAAGGGGCCACTCTGAGCACCAGTCACTGAATATTCTATGTTCTATGCAAGACACACTTTATGTTAGTAACAAAGTCAGTTATACAGGCTGTACTGCTGCTAACAATGTTGTCTCTTGACTGTAATTTCACCACTCTTTGTTTTTTACAAACTTTTGAAACAATCTGATTCTTTTTAGCATTGCTTGTTGACAATTTTACCCTGCTTTATTCTATCAAGTTTTTAAAACTATTTTGAATGTCTGAAGTTTCCCCTGTAAGCTAAATCAGTATTTCATGCAAGTTTATACCTGGAAGTCAATTGCAATGCAACTTAAACCTGCCACCAGTAGCCTTCAACTATCAGCTCACACTATATAGACTGTAATCCAAGGTATTATATTTACCTAAGATAAATAATTATGAAATATAACAGATAGGGTTCAAATGGGGGAAAATGTCTATTTCTGAGAAAATAGGAGTAATGAGAGACCCATAATAGTATATAAACAACATTGGCAAATACAATTACCAATGAAACATGTCAACATTAATTTTACAGATATGGAAACTTCTGCCCACTTCTTAAAGTCAAGGCCTAGGTTGTTCTTTTTAATGCTGGCATTGAAAGTTGTGTTTTTACAGTTTGCATAATCCTATTTTCCACATGAAGAGAAACTTTCTTAGCTTCATTTGCTTCTCAAAATGTTATAGAGTATTCCATAAATTAACAATTGTGTCAATTGCTTATAACTGCTTTGGGTAAAAACATTTTTTCATTTTAACACATGTGTGTGTGTGTATTTTAAAATTTTACTAGTTACAATGTCCATCTCAAAGAATTCCATAAAAATTTAATAAGTAAATATATAACATTTATTTTGTGACTGATAAACGTTTTTCTCTATTACTGCTAATAATTATTGCTTTAATAATCTATATTAGTTTTTTCTGCATGATTTCCATTAAACGCATTAATCTGAGACATAAGTAATAGGAAAAGCTTGGGGAACACTTCAGAACAGGGATGGAAGTCAGGAGACTGAGGACACCATAAGAACACAGCCTATAGAATCAAGTAAGCAGGGTCATAGGGCTCATAGACACTAAAGTGACAATCAGGGAGGCCATATTATGGGTCTAAGCTATATTCTCCGCATATATGTTATAGTTGTTGATGTTCTTGTGGGACTCCTAACAGTAAGAGTAGAGGGCGTCTCTCACTCTTTTGCCAGTTCTTGGGATACTTTTCCTCCTTTTGGGTTGCTTCATCCATCTTTGATACAAGTATTTGTGCCTGGTCTTATTGTAACTTATTATGCCCCCTCTGTTGATATCCCTAGGAGGCATGTTGTTCTCTTAAGGGAAACAGAAGAGGAACAGACCAGGAGGACAGAGGTAGTAGCGGGAGGGGATAGATGGACTGGGAGGGAAATTGTGGTCTGGGTGCAATGTATGAGATAAGAAAAAAAAGAAAATACTCAGACTAATAGCTTTTATCTCTTTAGATAAATCAAGGGGGAACAGGTAAGAATAAATATTGACCAGCTAAATTTTAAGATAAAATATTTCAAAAAAATAGAAGTTGTTTATTTTAAGAACTTTAAGCTTTAGGTAAAAATTTTATTTCTTTTTTAGGTGTAGTATTTTACAAAACACTAACTTTTTGTTTGAAAGGTCAGGTTAGCTTATACTAAATAGTGCAGAATTTCCAGTGTACTATGCATTAGTATTTTATGAGATAATTTCCATTATATTAAAATTCATCAAAGATGTCCAGTTCTCCCTCTCATTTGTTATCATAGCAGGCAGCTGCCAACTTTCAAAAATGTAATAAGCATAACTGAGAAGGTACATTTTTATGGATGACGTAGCTGCAGTACCAAACCCCACTATAGTGTCCCCCACATATTCCACAGCTAAATAACACATCTCATTCTCACACAGCATTTTTTACCCACTTGTACTGAAAAAGATTGAAGTAATTCTGAAACTATCTTTTAGGCAAACACAATATATCTCTCCAAGTTCTGAGAGCTCTGATAAATGCAAAGGCAATGTGCTTCCTGAACAGAGTTTAAGCCCTTTAAGTCTCATGTCTTTCACGGCTTTACCTTCAAGATGCATTGCCAATGACAAAACAGCAAACATGAAATCATTTTCACAGTGAAACTGTACAAAATCTGACAGCTATTAAAATTAGATGATGTTAAATACAACAAAGCTGCATTAAAAAATAAGATTTATTTCCTTATAAATCCATTGGTCATTTTTTGGGTGTAGATAACAACATACAGTTATAGTTTGGGTCCTCCCTTATCCCCTGCTTCTCTGTTTTTGATAAAGAACTTGGAGTAGTGAAGATTCAAATGTTTCCATGTCATATGGATCATGATGAAAAAATTTTCAATTTGTTCAAATTATCTAATATTTAGATTTCTCATCAATCATTATTATTATAACAGAATCTTCAGTATCATATTTTTTGTTTAGTTGTAGGTGAGTGATCTTTCCTGGTAGCCATTGTTGTGAAGAAAAAGTATGCTCAATGTAGCCATTATCTTTTTTTTTTTTTTTTTTTTTTTTTGTAGCTTTAGGGCCTGTCCTGGAATTAGCTCTTGTAGATCAGGCTGATGGTCTCCAACTCACAGAGATCTGCTTACCTCTGCCTCCTGAGTGCTGGGATTAAAGGCGTGCTCCACCACTGCTCGGAGCAAGTATGCAAGTATTTTATAATTTACCTCAAGAGATCCGGGATTTCTGATGCATTTTCTGTGGGCATAAAACCTTTCCCAATTGAATTACCATGTCTCCTTTATAACTAATCACCTCTATCTTATTTTGTTAATAACTACTTCTTTGTTATTCTTGAAATTATAATATATAATTTTTCTCCACCTATGATCACTTCAAGCCATTCAATATAACACATATAACCCTAAGCCCTCCTTGCTCTCTTTTAAATTAATGGTCTCTCTCTCTCTCTCTCTTTCATTAACTGTTGTTTTACACACACACACACGCAGACACATACACACACACACACACACACACACACAATCCTAAATATTTAAAAACAACGTGCCCGGTCTGCTGAATGTTACTTGAATGCAGATGATTTCAGGAATGATCATTTAGTATTGGATAACCAACTGGAGTACAACACCAATAGACAAGCTAACATAGATGTGGGAAAGTTCAAGAAACCTCATCAGTACACAAAGAACTACAAGCAACTAATAAATGCATCTTTTAGGGATTGTATTTTCATTAGGGAATTTTTTTGTAGCCTTAAACAGTGCTTTCATTTTCGGTAAGTATCACTCAAAAACTATTCAAATGACTTATCTCTCACTTTTTATATCCTGAACTGAGGGATGATTTGAAAGGTATAGTCTAATTTCTGTATTTGGCCCCTGTCATTCCTCAACATTTTTTTTTTGAGCAAAGTCATGAACTGAAAGTGTTCCAACTGACAATGTCCTCCCCTTTTGATTAATTTAATTCCCCATCATTATGTTTTCCTATTCAATGATCTTCAATTCCAGAGTTGTAATAATAGTTTTACTTGCAAAGATATTGTGCTACTTAATTAATGTTTGTACATACTTACAAATATTTGGATGGTAGATGAAATTCTGGTGCCAAGTGAAATATTACAATATTAAAATTAATGCTAAGACAAAGCACATTGTTAAAGGTAATGGCTTGAAAGTTGTCTCTTTGCACAAAGTGGAAAGAATGCATTGATTTCACAGCTTTTATGTACAGTGTAGACAGCTGTCTACATAAAACTGAAATATAAAAGAGAAATATTTTATTCAAGTGCACTAGACATTATTTGAATTATTTACCGTATATATAAATTTGAAATTTTTGCTCAGTAATGACATAGAGTATATACTTTATCAGAAGACAAATTAAAAAATCTTAATGTTTTAAAAGTTTTACCTAAATCATTTCAAAAAAGAAGCAGAGCAATTGTGGGATATTTGATTGTACTCTGACATTTCTAGACGGTGCTAATAAAATTAACTTTTAATCAAGGGGTGGAGCCAATGAAGAGCTGACTGAAATTATTCATAGAGAAGCCAGGAACATGGAAAGGGAAGACAGGATGGAGAAGGGAGGGACTTGGACTTCCTTCTGTCTTTTCAGTCTGTGACATGTAGAGGGAAGAGGTCCTGGCTAGGTCTCTGGTAAGAAAGAGAAGGTTGACTGGTTGCCCATCCTCTGTTTCTTTGATCTGAAGGCTTTCACCCAATATTTAACTCTCAAGTTTTTGTTGGTAATAGGACAATTTGCAAAACACAACATTTTTGTGCCTAATATGCTAGCTTAGGCAACATGTGTACTAAAACTGAAAAAAGTATGGAGAAGACTAGAATAACTGTTGCACAAGGATGACACTCGAATTTGTGAAGCATTTCGTGTTTTTAGTTCATGACCAAAAGGTCATTGGGGACCCATGACTTTAATCCCAACACTCAGGAGTCAGAGGCAGGTGTATCTCTGAGTTTGAGGTCAGCCTGGTCTACTGAGTGAGTTCCAGGACAGCCAGAACTGTTACACAAAGAAACCCTGCAACAAAAATAAATAAATAAATAAATAAATAAATAAATAAACATAAAAAACAAAACTAAAAAATATATATTTTTCTAAATTGTTCTATTACCAATAAAAAATTGAGAGTCAGATATTAGGGTAAAACCATATAGCTCAAAGAAGCAAAGTATGAACAACTGGATAACCTTCCCTTTCTTTCCAGAGACCCAACCAGCACCTCTTCACTCCACACTTCTCTCTCTTCTGCATCCTGTCTGTCTTTCTTATCCATTTCCCTGGCTTCTATATTACTAGTCACCATAAGCTAGTAGCTGGCTCCACTCCCTGATTCAAAGTTAACTTTATTAACACAGTCTAGAAGTGTCACAGTGTGATCAAATATTCTGAAACAGAGTGAAGTGAAGAAAATAAGCTCGGGGCAAAGATGAAACCTTGGTAAGGAAGCCATCACTGTTGAAGTTCTGTGACACAGAGATGTCGTATTTACTGCTGTCATCTCTGCATTAAAATCAATGCTGTGCACACGAGTGACAAACTATTTCAGGAACTGTTGACTGATGTTTCTGTTCCACCAGGTCTCACAGCCGTTAGTCCCAAATAAACACACAGAGGTCTACATTAATCATAAACTGGTTGGCTTAGTAGCTCAGGCTTCTTATTAACTCTTATAACTTACATAAGTCCATAATTCTTGTCTGTTAGCCACATACTTGGTACCTTTTTTGGCGAGGCAGTGACATATTTACATCCTCCGACTTTGGTGACAACAGCAAACTGACTCTTCCTTCTTCCCAGAATTCTTCAGTTCTCATTGCCCTGCCTCTACTTCTTGCCTGGTAGCCCCACTTAAACGTAAATAATTGGACAAGCAGTGATTTAAATATATAGTTTCTGTGTGGTTATTTCGGGAGCCTGGGCAGCCAGGAAATGAACAAGCAGCCTCCTGGAGGAACCAATAGAAACAACTCCTGAAAAGTCACCTAGTAGTGCTAGTGTTATAGTGATAAATATTGTGATTCTAAAATTCCTATCATGTATACATATAATATTAAGGTGATTTATGCATGTTGAAATAAAACTAACCTCACTATTTGGAGATAGTAATTTATTAGGATCCCTAAATGTTTTTAATGGAAATAGATTTCTATCACTTCTCACATGCATATACAGATTTATATTTTATTTCAAAATATAACTCTCTAACTGTTTTTCAAAACATTATTAGTTTCAGTGCCTTAAAATATACTTTATCTTAATTTTATTTACAAATTAACAATTAGTTTAAGATCTAAGTTTTATTAAAATAAGTAACAAGGGGGAGTTAAACCTTGTTATGGAAAGATTTGTGGACATAGATTTCTATCATTTTCATGGTGGGAAATCATTATTTGAAGAGTATTAATAATCTCAATAATAACTCATGACTTCTTTTAAAATAGTCCTCAAGGTTTTGAGGACTGTACCATCAATCGTATTTTAACTTATACTGATTGTTCAGTTGTATTTTATCCTTTGTAACAACTGTAGTCATTTTCTTTGCCCATATGTTTGCAGCTTACTTGATGATTTTTATATGTTTTTAATTGCTTACCTCCTGCCTTGGTGAAATACAAAAGTGGCAACTTGTGTAAAAAAGGGGAGAACAGAGAGAGCTTTAAGAATTGATGCCTATCATGGGGCAATGAGAGCACTTTGGACCTGGCAGGATCACAGAAAATTCTGGTAATGCACTCAGAGCAAAATGAGGAGTTGTGCAGGATTTTGAAGCGAGGAGCCACCTAATCAAACTTTGATTCCTAAATGGTGACTCTGTCCTCTTATATTGTCATGAGGATAGATGTAGAAATCAGAAGAGAAACAATGTAAAATGAATTAGGTGAATAGAAAGAGAAAAAGATATGCTTGTATTCTGGATATGTTTTTCAGGTATCAAGAAAAGCACAATTGACTGGACATGTGATTATTTGGTACAAGTGCACATGTGTGTGTATGTGTGTGTGTGTGTGTGTGTGTGTGTGTGTGTGTGTGTGTATGTGTGTGTGTTTTTCAGGAAAACTATTTGGCTGTAGATGCAAATTTCAGAATTGCTGGCAGAAAGATTAGGAATAAGTGAGATCTCAAAAGGAAAAGAAGAAGGGAAGAACATACTCTGTGCATGGTGTGGCCCACCTCAAAAAGCAGAGATAAGTAAAATACTGGAAGGGTAAAAGGTGAGGCATGAAAGTAATCAGGAAAAGCTGGAGAATGTGGAGGAAAAGCACAGCTCAGTCAAAGGTGAGGAATGCCGCTGCTGAGTCAAGTATGAACTGATTTAACATCAGGGAAGTCAAGAGCACAGGATCTGTGGGACCAAGGCCCAATTGGATTGTATTTAAAGAAGACTAGCAGAGCAGATGAGGATAGGCAAGCCATTTCAGGACTGTTGCCACAACATGGGAGCCAAACAATGCTAAAATAGAAGCCATGAAATAGTGTTCAAGACAAAGTCTGTGTTTTGCTTCGTAATCAGACTGGGAGAATTACAGCATATTTCTAAACTCATAGAAACAGTTCAATAGAGAGAAAAAACAACATGTGAACATATGGGAGTACATAAGACGGGAGAGGATGCCTAGAATTATGTCCTTGAGGAGAATAGAGAGGCTGACATTTAATGCATGGACAGAGATTGTTATAAGAACAAAAAAGATTATACATCAAAAAGAAGAACAGCTACAGGTGTGATATCATAAGGTCTAAGTATAAGAGATCTGAATTAGAAAAAAAAAATCTCAGATATAATCAAGTTGGGTTAAATGTTTCTCCAAGATGTTTACAATTGTCTCATTCCTCGTTCTCATACCTTTATCCTGAGTTGCAGACTACAGGAAGATCTGCTTGTTGAACCGGGATGTTGTCTGACAGTTTATGCTGGTGTTGAGAGGCGCAATTAATTTACAAAATTACTCTTGACTTATTCCAGAAACCTTGGGAACTCCCGTTGTTGATAATTCCTCATATACATCTTGATTTCCACTGTTCATTTTAATTTTGTCTTCATGAATGCCGAATTCTCATTTTGATAAAAGTGCATAAGCCACTATTAGATTCTCTTAAACAATGTATTTAAACAATTATCTTGTCGGCAAGTTATGACATTGGCTCTTTCTTTCTGAACTGAAAATTTTCTTTCTCTTGTTTTACTTGCTGTGATAACTAGGACCTCTCACGGTGTAATACAAGGAAGGTGGAAACCATTCTTTCAAGCTGCTCGAAAAAAAAGAAATTAGAATAATATTTCACCTTTAAGTGTAAAGTCTTTTGTAAGCTTGGGAGAATACTGTGAGTGGAAAAAATATGTGGGTACGACGTCCTAAGAGATATACCTGTGATTTGAATCTTTTAAAGAGATTTTTCCCCCTTTAAAAGTGGGTTTAAATTATGTCTCTATTGTAGATGATAGTTTTTCTGCTGTATTGCTTCTCTTAGTGTCTTATAGAATCATCCTTCCAAGAGGAGGTTAAAACACATTGACTTTTCTAGTATATTTTATATGCTATGTTTACACTTAAATATATAATTTCTCTGAAATTGCTATTGGTTGATAATGACAGTTTCTGTTGTCTTTTGAAATACCTGTAATGCTATACTAGTACACACTTATAGGCACAATTCTTTATGGCAATATGGAAGTTATCACAGATTCTTCTGACAATATCCAGCTACTCAACTTTAAACTTTACATCATTGTTGTATGGCGTAAGAGTTCCTTCGGTTTGTGTGTTGCTTTCATTGGTTAATGAATAAAGAAACTGCCTTGGCCTAGTTAATAAGGCAGAACTTAGACAGACAGAGGAAAAAAAAAACTGAATGCTAGAAAAAAGGGCAGAGTGAGAGAAGTCATGTATCCACTGCCTGAAATGGACACCATTTAGAATCTCTGGTAAGCCACTGCCACATGCCAAAATACAGATTAATAGAATTATTTTTCCTGGCCCCCTCTCCTTACAACAGTTTTATATTTAAGCACTTAGTACCTAGCTTGCTTTTTTATGAAATATGAATAATAATGTGATCAGAATGTTTCTAAATATGTCCATCCAGAATTGAACAGGCCTGGTTATTCAATCAAATGCCAGCCTAGATACTGATGTGAAACAATTTTTGTAGATGGCATTAAGCCTTTTTTTCCCCAGTAATATGAGGATAAAATATCTATATAACACAGATGGCTAATTGTGACCCCTTCTGTCTCCTAGGGCAGTAGCAAAATTGGTCAGGGACATTTTTTCTGAAAATAAAGCAAGAAAGAAACTGCATGGAAAGCAGGGAATTTCATGTATAGAGAGGACTTGACCATAGTAGCTGCTTCGGATAGTGGAGAAAAGTTTTTGATTATCCCATTCCCGCAAGCTCTCCCCAAACCTTCCCTTTTCCCTTCTCTCTCCCCATCACCCCTTTTCCTCAATCCACCCCTAACCCCCTGCTCCCAACTTTTGACCTATGATCCTGTCAAATTCCAATATCCAAGTGGATAAATATGTGTTTTGCTTTGGGTTCATATTCTTATTTAGCTTCTCTTGGATCGTGAACTATAGGCTCGATGTCCTTTGTTTATGGTTAGAATCTGCTTATGAGTAAGTACACACCATATTCCTCTTTTTGGGTCTGGGTTATCTCACTCAGTAAAATGTTTTCTGTTTCATCCATTTGCATGCAAAGTTCAAGATATCATTGTTTTTTACCACTGAGTAGAACTCTAAAGTGTATATGTGCAACATCGTCTTTATCCATTCTTCTATAGGGGGGCACCTAGTTTGGTTCCAGGTTCTGGCTATTACAAATAGTGCTGCTATGAACATAGCTGAACAAATGCTTTTGTAATATGATTGG